CCTCTTTGCTCTGCGATATATTTTTCACTGTGTTGAACATGATATGTAGCGTGAGAGCGACATGGCTTGTTGGACATAGCAACAGTAATGAAGGGGGGCAGGTTTTTGCAAAGGGTCAATTATACTACCTTTCACAAGTTTGGGGTTGGTAAGACTTTTTAAGGTTTTTGAACAAAAGTCTCTTATGTTCACCAAGGCTGCATTTATTTGATCAAAAATACAGTAAAACAGTAATACTGCAAAATATTATTATAATTTTAAATAACTTTTTTACATATATTTTAAAATGTAATTTATTCCTGTAATGGTGACGCTGAATTTTCAGCATCATTACACCAGTCTTCAGTGTCACATGATCCTTCAGAAATCATTCTAATATGCTGATTTGGTGCTCAAGAAACATTTTTAAATATTATATCAATGTTAAAAACAGTTGTACTGCTTAATATGTTTTTGTGAAAACAGTGATACATGTTTTTTTGTTTTTTTAATTCTTTGATAAGCTTAAAAGAACATTTATTTGAAATATATATTTTTTGTAACATTACAAATAGCTTTAGTGTCACTTTTGTTTCATTTAATGCATGCTTGCTGAATAAAAATATTGATTTCCTAAAAATAAAAAAATCTTACCTACCCCAAACTTTTAAATGGTAGTGTAAGTGTCAAAATAAAAGATTTCCAGAGTGATATAAATCTCTGAGTCAGACCAAGTCTGCATCTCATTGCTAGTTTTACTTGATCTTAGTGCTGCGTCCGACACTATAGATCATAGTCATAGATCGATTACAAAACTATACAGGTATTCAAGGGGAGGCTTTAAAGGAGTCATATGATGCGATTTCAATTTTTCCTTTCTCTTTGGAGTGTTACAAGCTCTTGGTGCATAAAGAAGATCTGTAAAGTTGCAAAGACTAAAGTCTCAAATCCAAAGAGATATTCTTTATAAAAGTTAAGACTTGTCCATGCCATCCTAAAACGCCTCGTTTAAACACGCCCCCACATGTCTACGTCACGATGTGGGAAGATTTGCATAACGCCACCCAGTTACTTCCTCTAGTCAAAAATCTGGGTGTTATATTAGATAGTAACTTGTCTTTTGAAAATCATATTTCCCTTGTTACAAAAACAGCATTCTTCCATCTTAGAAACATTGCCAAGTTACGAAATATGTTACCTGTTTCTGATGCAGAAAAGCTAGTTCATGCATTCATGACCTCTAGACTGGACTATTGTAATGCACTGCTAGGTGGTTGTCCTGCATCTTCAATAAACAAGCTACAGGTAGTCCAAAATGCAGCGGCTAGAGTCCTTACCAGGTCAAGAAAATATGATCATAGTACCCTAATTTTTATATGGATAATATATATTTTTCTTTACCTATTTTATATATAGGTAAAGACATGTGTCTTTACCTATATATAAAAAGACATATAGGTAAAGACACATCTCTTTGGCCAAGCATTCAAATAATGCATCTCATAATTTTGTACTGCAGTTATATCTGATCAAATGCACATTATTATTCTTTAGCTTGGGTTAAACAAATCAATTTTGCTTGGTTGGAACAGCAGCTACGCTAATTATGTCTCTATTTGTTTCTCTGTTTTTGCCACTGCATTAACATACTAAACATACATGGTAACTAGAATTTACACAAGCTTCAGTCTGGATCCAGAACACCTGAGAAGAGATGATGCCAACCCCTCAGAGGACCTCAGATGATGCCAACCCTGAAACAACATACAGAACTACCACATTTTGCTATAAGTTTGATTGCATCATATAATAATTGCTGTTAATAGTGTTCATCGTCCGTTTGATTACGTCTTTAATAGATTTTTCCATACATTTCTGCCATATGTACATTAACTGACAGTTACCACTGATAAGCTACCACTAAATATTATAGACAATTTGCTGTAAAGTTGCTTTGCAACGATTTGTATCGTGAAAAGCGCTGTACAAATCAACTTGAATTGAATTGAATTGAGTAAAAAGGAAGCTCACAATAGCTATTCCCTTTCATTTTGGAGCGCTTACCACAAAAATGTGACACTCATTTCCTCAGGGCAGAGCTCGTGTTTGGTGACAGCAGAAGAAAGTGTCACTGAGCTTTATAATTAACAAAATCTCAGATGTGGACCTGAAAGAAAATGCTATTTTGTCAAGAAAACTGAAATGGAAATTGGAACAAAAACAGCAATGATTTAATGAATCCTCCCTCACAAAAACAACACAACGCTGAGAATAAAATGCACCGGTACGCTTGTAAAACACCTTTGAGTCTGCGACAGATGGACTGTACACACAGCTGTGATTTGCTTGTCATAACTGCTGAAACGCATGTGATGTGTGGCCAGTGATCCGTTTTGCAGTGCCACATGAGCAGTCACCGCAACAGTGCTGACAGAACTCCCTCCATTCATGACACTGAGGCCGGTCATCCATCTCTTACCTTCTCAGACAGAAAGTTTTTACTGGAAAGAACAAGCAGAGAAAACCTGTCAAAATGAACCCATATTTCCTACACGCTCATCTCTTAATGACTCAGATCTGAGATTACTGAATATGCTTGAATATATTTGACCTGGCATTAGAAGGTGCAGTTCCTAGATGAACTAATCATAATTCCTGAATGTCCAGTTATAGTTAAAGAAACGTATACATTCATTTATTGTAATAATACTTAATATTATTGTTTTACTGTATTTTTAATCAAATAAACATAGCCTTGGTGAACATAAGAGATTTATTTTAAAAGAATTATAAAAATCTTACCAATCAACTTTTGAATGGTAGTGTCCAACTACAGACGTTCTTAGATTTCTTTTTTAACAATAAAATAAAATAGTTCAAAATACCAAATTGTAAAAGCACAACCATTTAGTAGTAATTTGTTATCAATGAGAATTGGTGAGTTGAGCAACTACCAGTGAACTGAGCAGTTTTGCCATTTCAAGCAAAATAGTTCATTGATGAACATTCCTGCTTGAAAATACATTTAAATAATATTACCTATTACTTTAAATGCACTAATGCCACACAGGCTACTCCCAGGTGGAAGCCAGCAATTATTACAATAGGAAAACTGTGGAAAGGACCCTTCGGCTTAAAATGAAAATATATATCAGTCTGACAGAGTACATGGTGCTAATTTCCCATGAAAAATCCTCATAATTAGGTGCTTAACTTGGCCATGGGTTGTACTCGGGAGGTCAGAACTTACACTGCAATGTGGTTTCCCATACCGAGATGGGCAGGTGCTGCCAGTTCCAACTGTCTGAACACCTGCCTCCTGTTACTCCCTCTTCAAAGCCCCCCCAATTCAGCTCTACATGGCCTTGGCTCAGGTGCAAAGAAACGCCGGCCAGAGCCCTTGCTGCAGCCCTCGCGCCCCTAACAGCTGCCACCCTGAAATCATCCAAACTGCTCCTGTGTAAAATCCACTCAGCCCACAGGGACTGCTAACTCAGATCTCCAAGAACGTGAATCGCTGAAAATCTAACAACAATGGAGACCTCTGAAAAATAATAGATTTAATAATAGTTCGTCCAGCAGACCTCTACCATTCACACATGTCCTTTTCACATGGGGTCAGTACAATTTTTTTCTTTTATTCAGCAAGGATGCATTAAATTGATCAAAAGTGACAGTAAATATTTACCATGTTACAAAATATTTCTATTTCAAATAAATACTGCTCTTTTGAACTTTCAAAGAATCCTGGAAAAAAAATAATGTTTTTTACAACAACAAAAAAAAGCAGCACAGCTGTTCTCAAAATTGATAATAATTATAATGATAAACGTTTCTTGTGCACCAAATCAGCATAATAGAATGATTTCTGAAGGATCATGTGACACTGAAAACTGAAGTAAATCGTTGCTGAAAATTAGCTGTTATCAGAGGAATAAATTACATGTTAAAGTATTATACTATATATTATAGTATATTAAAGTATTATATTATATTAGCAATTCTTTCTGGCTACTATGTATAGGTTTCTATGTAAGTACTGGTACTTCTGAATGGGTTGAGGCTGGGATTTAGCGCATTTGAAGTGAAAGTACTTGATGAACATATACTATGTGTGGAGAGCATTCACTCAGTATTGTTATCTGATTTTTGACCAAGATGGATTTTAGAGGCTTTTGCATTGGAAATCATCAATTGCAATAATATTTCGCAACGTTTACTGTATTTTTGATCAAATAAACGCAGCCTTGGTGAGCATAAGACTAAAAATTTAAAATATTAGAGACCCCAAACTCTGTCTGTGTGTGTGTGTGCGTGTAAAATGTAAAATTATATTCTATGTAAGAGATATATAAACACAAACATACACACCTACATCCACCCACCCACCCGTGCCAGAATGAAGGAAGAATTCTGAATAACTGGTTTTCACCTGTTAATATGACGTCGCAATGATTGAGTCACATGTCTAATCACATCGTGATAAACCCTGTCAAAAAGCGATGACGTCACTGACATGTCGACTGCCAATAGAACACATAAAATAACTCTGATAAAAATGAACAAAATAAATTAACAAAAAGAAATAAAGTGACCACATAAACACGTAGTTAACTCACAAATCATCAAATGTTTTCACCAATGACCGGGATCGTTAGTGGCTCTTAATAAGGTCAAGTTAAATTAAGACAATCCTCACAAAAGGAATATATAATCATGATCATCACTAATCAAAGCACTGTTGTGTTGGTTAAATTCACCACAAGCTCCAACAAAATCCAATCTGCCTGTAATGTCTTCAGCTACAGAAAAAAACTGCTTGAACAGCTGAATCTTCAGGTACAACATTTACAAATAAAATGCTAAAGTATTCCTGGTTTGTAGCTATTCTCTTGTCTAAAACATAACAGTATAATACAGAAAATAACTTGAAATTATTTGATGGTGTATATATATTAAAGCAAGCAGCATTTTAGTACAGAAACCCCTCAGCTACAGCAAAGTGACAAACCGAATCTTACCGTCATAAACTGCTCCAGGGGTGTCCAGTTTTATAAGTAAATGTTATTTCGTAAGAGACCCAAGGCAGAGAGCCCGCTCAGAGCAACAGCGGCAGCCTCATACTGACCCACTCCAGCCCAGCACACACATTCAACTCAACGGGGCCTCCGGTTCCAATAACCCACACAAACTCAATCCTGTAAAGCCAGTGAGCGAAGACACTTTACAATCCAGTCAACGGGACTTCTAGGGCGGTGGAAGGGATCACGCAGGAGAATAAAAACGCATTTCCCACTCTGGAGGTCGGCTCATCGGAATCGGTCACTTCTTAAGCTGTGTCTCCGTTCACGGTGCTGTTACATTGTAGGAGCCGCAGAAGCAGCAGCAGTGCTGAGTGTTACATTGTAACATGGCGCGACATCCCTCCGCAGCGCCACCAGCGGCCGGGGGTGGAGTCGCAACCCGGAGAGGCGGGACATTTACTGACAGACAGACAGACAGATAGATAGATAGAGTATTATTTTCAGTACAGCTATTAGAAACAACATGGTTTGATATCTGATATGCGTGGGCCACAACGTATAACTCTCTTACAACCCACCAACTGTTAAAGCAATGAAGACAGTTATGCTGCTCAAAGGCTTTTTATTCATATAGTTTATATGGACAATGGTGACATCTTGTGGCATAATTGTGCTGATGCTCAGAATGACGGGTGTTTCACTGAGAACTTCCAGATCTTAAAGGGGTCATATGATGCAATTTCAAGTTTTCCTTTCTCTTTGGAGTGTTACAAGCTGATTGTGCATAGATAAGATCCCTGAAGTTGCAAAGACTAAAGTCTCAAAACCAAAGAGATATTCTTTATCAAAGTTAAGACTCTGCCACGCCCCCCTAAAACGGCTCATTCTAACACGCC